ATCTATATATCTATATCTCGCTATACTCCTTATAAATGTCAAAATTTTTCAATTTTTTTTAATCTTTAATTATTATAATAAAGTCAATTTTACACACATATAATATTTTTATCTAATTTTATTTTTTATTCTTATTTGGCTATGAATTTTTTTTAAACTCTTTTATTAAAACTTCTAAATTCTTTTGAACTCATTTATTAGTAGTACATTTATATACAATCTTAGATATCTATATGAATAAGTCAAATCACATACATATTAAGTTATTATATACATGTAATTATCAGATTGAATTCCACAGTCAAATATATGTTATATTTTTTTTTTAGTATACAATAATATTGTAAATAATCTAATCAATCTATTTAACAAAATAAAAATTAATAATCCTATAATATAAATAGTTATGCAAATGCCTAAAACAAATGACAGATTAAGTACTCAAAAAAAATATTTAAAGACTTATAGAATAAACCAATAATTAAATTTAATAATAATTAAAATACATATTAATTATTTGACATCAAATTTATTATTTAATTTAATTATATATATAATTCACCTTTTTTATAAAAATTATTATTTAAATTTATTTAGGTGTCGTGCATTGCTAATGCTCATAAATGTGCAATTCATCGACGTTATTCCGGGACATAAACGGTTATGTTGGTTTTCGGGGAAAAATAAAGGAGAAAAAATTGAAGACGCAACCCATGCTGCATTACTCTGGAGTCTGGAGTCAGGTCGGTTCTCCCTTTCACTTTGATGCAGCGATGCATAGAGTCGGGTAGGTTTTATCTACTGGACCCAAACCTTATGCACCCAACTCTCAGCCATCGAGGCCCCCATTTTTGCCAAAGCTGTCCTGAGGACCTTCATATTGACATCCACTAACTATATCTATCATAAGTGATGAACCAACATTTGTGTGTGTGTGTGTGTGAGTGAGTGAGTGAGTGAGAAAGAGGGAGAGAGATTGGGTCGTAGCAAGCTAAATGTGGCTCCATGGTTCTTGTCATCTTGGCTTGCGCAAATAAAAAAGCTCGTCGAAGAAATTATTAATGGCTGCAGCAGCGATGGAGACCCCAACTGCAAATAATTTCAAATTTCCAAGCCAATTTGTTACATTGCACACGCACACACACAGAGGTCAGGGTCTCAGACTCTCAAGCAAGCAAATCATTAATCATGTACCACTTGGGTTTATCATTTCTTACAAGCAAAACTAATAAAGTAATATATTGCAATGTAAACCAGCTCTTCCAGTAGGATGACATCTAATCATAATCATACTGTACTAGGTGATTTTACAGAAAATGCCGCATTGGCCAACCTGCCTCATGATCATTTGCTAGCTCTATTGCCACAGGCTTCATAACACAGTATCCAGTTGTTGAACGAGAATTGACCATCCCTTTCTTGTTTCCACCACCACAACCGTTTGTACCGACAACTACTCTTCTCCTTTCCGCCGTATCCTGTCTTTCAGCTCTCCTCCTAAGATTTTCTTCTTAATAATAGAGTTCAGCCTTTCCCTACTCAAATTCCTATTTGGTGGAATTGGCATAGCCTCAAGTCCCATCAACTTGGCCACCACCCCTGGTTTGCACCACACTATACTCTCTCCTGCTAATGTTCGTGGTAGACACAAACTGTTCTGGTGCTCCGAATTAAGACCATCTTTACAAGTCCTGTTTCTGAATTCACGGTTGCAGCAGATTGACTTTCTGCCATTGGGGGCTGAGGTTCGGAAAGAAGATCGGTACATGGCGTCCTTCCCATCAAGAGAAAACCGAGGGTACTGATTTAATGCGTTCCTTGCAGTTCGCAAAATGTCAGAGCTGTTAACGCATGACATTCGAGATTGGAATTCACCATACTCATCATCAAGCTTGGCTTTTCTTGCCATCTTTTCTTCCAACTCTAGCTGCAATATCATATCCTCCAAAGTTGGCTGTCTTTCCATGGGAGTAGCATTGCAATCTCCCTTTGTTGATAGTGAAACTTTGCTATTGCGTTTCACCCGTGGAAGCTACTTGCTGGAAGCTCCATCCAGAGCTTAAGCCACCTTCTCGCAACATGATCGCCGTCCAGTTGATCGATATGGTTGGACCGCAAAGATTTTATATCCGATTTCTGCTTATGTTTCTTATAGTAATCTGTCTCCCACATTTCGAGCTTATACTATGGCCTTATCAGATACGCTGGTTCCTCGCTCTATTTCGGAAGCTATGCGGGAGCCCCAGTGGGTTCTTGCCATGCAGACAGAGATGGACGCTCTTCAGCGTAATCATACATGGGATCTTGTCTCCTTACCTTCAGGGGTGAAGCCTGTTGGCTGTCGCTGGGTTTTACACCCTGAAGTTTCTTGCGGATGGTACTATTGATCGTTACAAGGCTAGACTTGTGGCGAAGGGCTTTACTCAGGTACCAGGTCGTGATTTTGGTGCTACATTTGCCCCCGTGGCAAATTGACTACTGTTCGGTTAATTATTTCTCTGGTTGCGGAGTACTCTTGGCCTCTTCATCAATTAGATGTGAAGAATGCATTTCTTCACGGTGATCTGGATGAGATTATTTATATGGATGCACCACCGGGCTTTCGTGGTGAGGGGGAGTATGCTGGAAAGGTATATCGACTGCGTAAGTCTCTTTATGGACTGAAACAGTCGCCACAAGCCTGGTTCTCTCGCTTCAGTGATGTAGTCATACGATTGGGGTTTACTAGGTGTCATTCTGATCATACCTGCTTTATTCGACGGAATACTTCTGGACAGTGTGTCATCCTTCTGGTATATGTTGATGATATTATTATTACTGGTGATGATGTTTCTGGGACTGCGCAGGTCAAGATAGACCTTGGAAGGCCTTCGATGTGAAAGATCTTGGATTTCTGCGATACTTTCTTGGGATTGAGGTTACCCGTAGAAGCAGAGGTATTGTTCTTTCTCAGAGAAAGTATGTTTTGGATCTTCTTTCAGACACTGGCATGTTGGGGTGCAAACCGGCATTATCACCTATGATTCCAAACCTGAAGCTTACTGCTGAAGGTGAGGAGTTGAAAGATCCGACAGTTTATCAAAGATTGGTAGGTAGACTTATCTACTTAGCCAATATTAAGCCGGACATTTCATTCGCAATCAGCCGAGTTAGTCAGTTCATGCATAGGCCATGTCAGCCTCATCTTGATGCAGTTTATCATATTCTTCGGTATCTCAAGTCTTGTCCTGGACTTGGGTTGTTTTTATGCATCAGGATCTCAGACCGGTTCTCTAGCCTGTTATTCAGATTCAGATTATGAGGGAGCATGTGATGGTCGATCTACTACGGGTTTCTGTGCTTTTCGAGGGACTCATCTTATCTCTTGGAAGAGTAAGAAGCAGGCAGTTGTCTCCCGCTCGTCCGCAGAGGCAGAGTATCGGGCATTGACACTTGGCACATGTGAGATTATCTGGCTACGACCGATTCTTGACGAGTTGGGTTTTTCAGTGACCTCTCCATCCACATTATATTGTGATAATCAATCTGCTATTCAGCTCGCTTCTGACTCTGTACTACATGAGAGAACGAAACATATAGAGATCGATGTTCACTTTCTTCGGGAGAAGGTCAGCAGTGGTCTTGTTACTCCATCGTTTGTGGGGACCAGTGATCAAGTTGCGGATATTTTTACCAAACCTGTCACTCTGTCTATTCTTCGGGACTCCGTTGTCAAGCTTGGCTTAGTTGACATTTTTGCGCCTAGCTTGAGGGGGAGTGTTGGAGTATAGATAGTTTAGGTTTATTAGGATTTCTCTTTCCTAGGTTTATTAGGATTTCTTTTCCCTTTAGGATTTCTTTTCCCTTTTTTACCCTTACTATGATTTTTATATTTTGCCTATATATACGGGGTCTTACTCTTAATTTGAGTATCTCCTTTTACTCACAATTATTTCAAGTGATTGCAATTCTATATCTTGATTCATAAGCATATATTTGATAACATAGCTGTTATATAATTTTAGCAAAGCTAAAATACAAAAATAAAATTATAATTCCAAATGCCCCATATGCAAAGCAAATGTGCAAAAACTGGTTTCTAAAAAAAAAATAAGTAAATTAACTTATATCAAAAAAGGATGACAATTGATCCTCTCTAAAAAAACATAAAATTAAGTCAAATAATACTTGATACACAACAATGATGTAATTCTTAACTCCGACAATTTTCCTATGAGTAAAAAGTGAGAACAAAGGGCAAATAAAATTTTAATCCATAATCTCCACACAAAAAAGAAAAAAAAATCACTGTTGTTGAGTAAAAGGAAGAAATAGAAATTTAAAAATCTCACTGAAAAGTGTACCACTAGAGTTGTGACATATTAGAAAGAATAAAAAATAAAATAAAATGGTTTCATGACTAAAAATGAAGGGTAAAATTGAAATATAATGGCATTAGGACTTCATCGAAGTAAAATACTAAAATAGAACTTCATTGGCATAAAAAAAAATATAATAGCACGTAATGGATATTTATAGAAAAAAATAATATTTATTGATAATTTTTCCAATTTTTATGCACGTGAAAACCTTTGCAACCGGTAGACATTAGAATTAGGAAAATTTTGGGAAAAATTATATTTTGGTTTTCTCAACTATGACGTTTTTTTCACATCGCCTCATCAACTGTCATATTTTTAATATTACATCTTCAACTATGTTAGTTTCATATTACTCAAATTAATAATGTCCATTATAATATGACTTATATTCTCTTTTATCTACCAAACTATGTGTTTCATTTCATCTTTTCTCAGCACACATTGACAATGTTCGGGCAAAAAATGTC